CAGGATACATTCTGTTTAATTCTGTTAGTGGAAATGTTTCTGTACAAATTAAATATTAAAATGTGGATAATTTTACATTATTTCATAATAAATCTTAAAATCTGGTGGGTGTTTCCGACTACAGCACCTCCTACTGGAACCGCCCACATTTCATCCTCAGTAGGTGCATGTGGCTGGTGGACACCACATTGGTCAGAGCAGGTCAGATGGGAGACGTGTCCTCGTTGGGCTGCGGGCAGAGGACAATGTCACTGACCCTGTAGTGCATCCTTGCAGCCACCAGAACATGAGGAGGGCAGGGATCCTGTGACCAGACATCACTGGGGGGGGAATGTCTGCTTCACTTGCCAACTAAACCAGAAATATTGAGGACAAAATGAGGAAATTATTATATCGTGTTCACAGTACTCCTATCCTCAAGGACCAGATATTAAATACAAGAACAATTTTAAACATGATTCTGAGCCATGGAGCACATTTTTATTACTAGTGTAAAGAATGACACAGTCTATCTACATTTGTAAATAGTTGTTGCTACAAGAAACCCCTTCAGTGGGCAGATCATTCCCATAAACATCAACACAAGTCATAAGGTTACATTTTGTGCAGAGATCTAGAGGGAAGGAGGGTACTAGATGGATTTTACTGATTTAGTGTCAGTTGCTATTTCCCACAGCGGGATACATTTGCCTAACTCACAAGCACAGGTCATGGTTTGAAGATGAAATCTTCCAGGATGGCACTCACAGCTGACCTCCCAGGGGGTCAGGAGACCCACAGCAAAGGTGTGAGCACTGGCCTGCAGGAGGGGCCAGCGGGCCCCCATGGGGGACCCTGAGGTGTGATGTGAGGAATGGACACCCCGGGGGTGGGAAGGGCAGAGAGGAGCTTCTGTGGTCCCCCTCAGCTGGGGACAGTGGGGGGGCGTGTCTCAGGCACCAGACACTTGTCCCCTCTCCACTGTCTCTCAGACCAAACTCAGGGAGTGAGTCAGGGGTCTGTCTGTCTGTCTGTGCACATGAGTCACAGCCGGGCTGCACCATCACCTCCAAGGACAAGGCCTCCAGAATTTCCCAGGTGAACTAATTACATTTGATTCTCAGCAGTACTGGTGTGAAAACAAATACATTTGTTTCTGATATTAGGCCACAATGTGCCTTGGCAATCATATTTATTAATATTAAAAGATTTCTCCTCCTATCCTAATAGTCATGCAAACTCAATGGCCTTGACAATGTCACAAAGGCATTCTGTACCAATTCTCCCAAGGATCCCAGCCTGATCCCCAATGTCTCACTGTGTTGTCTTTGGTGGTGGACGTAGCCCCACCTCCGTGCACAAAGAGACCCGGGTTTCACTGGGAAACACAGATTCCAACACCGAAAAAATCTGAGCGCACTTCAGAGCAGACTCAGGGGGACGGAGCACCTGCACACAGAAGGCAGGGCTGTGACTCAGGGACTCAGGAGACGGGGACGTGGGACAGGAGAGGAACAGGATAAGGCACATGGAGAAGGGCTGAGCAGGGAGGGGATTCACAGGTCAGGCCCTGAGGTCCAGCTCCTGCATCCCTGGATTGGAGCCTTGACTCAGCATCACTGTCTGGGGGACTCTGGGGAAATCATAACCTTGCAAGGATGGCCCCCTGCTTTGGACAGAACATTAGCAGAAGGATGATGCTGGATAATTATGATGTCTGGTGAGGGGTGCAGGTCAAACACTCACCAACCATGTGACACCTATTAAGGCCTCCAAAGTAGTCAGTAGGTTGAGCTACTCGCATAGAGAATGACATTCATCCTGGGGGCACCAGGGGGCACTGTGGGTCTTGCCTGGGGATCTCTGATAGTGCAAGACCCTGGGCTGTGCTCAGTGCAAAGGGTGTGACTGATGCTTCTTTGGAGACAGTTTTATTGGGTAAAATCAACTCTTAATGATACCAACACCTGGACCATCCTCCTCCTCTGGAAATTACCAGCAGGAGATTGTCAGGCTTGAGGTTGAGAGAAGATCTGAGACACATTTGCATTCATGCTCCTCCCTGTTGAGCTACAATGGACAGAGGATAAGACAGGGACTTGGAGAGGCCAGGGCCAGCTGGGCAGCCTCAGGGCAGAGCTCCTGGAAGCCCCTCCCACCATGGACTGGGCTCCCTTCTCCCTCCTTCCCCTGGTTTTCTCCACAGGTCAGACTATCCCTGGACACACAGGGGTCCCACTCCCCAACAGTTTCCTTCTAAGCCCAGTCCCAAGGGGCGTCTGTCCAGTCTGGGTGCCTGGGCATCATCTCCGTGTTTTGTGTCTGCAGGTCTCTGTGCTGCACCTGTGCTGACCCAGCCCCCATGCACCCTCAGCAGTGAGCACAGCAGCTACACCATTCCCTGGTATCAACAGAGACTGGGAAATGGCTCTCTGTACGTGATGTACATTAAGAGTGATGGAAGCCAGAAGAAGGGGGACAGGATCCCTGATGACTTCTCGGGCTCCAGCTCTGGGGCCAACTGCTACTTAACCATCTCCAGCCTCCAGTCTGAGGACGAGACTGACTATGTCTGTGGTGAGAGCCACACACACAACAGCCTTTTCACAGAAGCTGCAGAGACACAGACCAAAGAGGAGTGAGGCCCACACCTCCATCCCCCATCCTCTCCCCCACTGGGACTTGGGCTAAGCTGCTCCCTGTCCTTGGCCAGGACCCTGAGACATTTACATCTTCCCCTGCAAATCCCATCGTCCTGTACTTCCTCCTCAAATCACCATTTGAAAATCTCAGGTATAGTCACAGTGCAGGTCATTTTCACAAAGCAATGCCCTGTTTACCCCAATCAAAGGCTGTAGGCAGGACTCTGTGACACCCGAGCAGCCCAGGCAGGAACATGACCCTGAGCGAGTGGCTGGGCTGAGATGCCTGGCCCCAGGTGCCATCTGGCCTTTGCTCCCATCTTGGGGTTCTTCTCAAGGAATGAACGTAGACCTTGGTGTTCCAGGGTTGACCTTGGAAGTGGCAACACTGCCTGTTTTGACTCAGGACACCTGGGAGTGAAGCAGGAGCACTGTCAGGACTGAGGTCTGACAGGAAGCATTTGTCCCTGAGCAGAGGCAGGACTGAGAGACCTGATGCCGAGTTGGAAGCAGAGCTGGGTCGGGAGGGAACTGGGTGCCTGTTGGGAGGTCTGGGGGTAGGACTCGCGTGGAGCACAGGCTGGGTCCCCCAGCTGTGCCAGACTCTCAGCCTGTGGTGCCAAGGAAGGCTCCACGTCTGCCCACGGGAGTTTTCTAGGGACAGGCCAGGACAATGTCCACTGGGACACGGGGGATGGGAATCCTGTGGTCGAAAATACGTTGACCACCTCCTACCTCCAGTCTCTGCCTGTGGGTCACTGGACTCAGCCGCATCTGTGGGGGGGGGGATGGTGACAGGATGTGTTGATATTCTACTGACTTTCCCAGGAACTGAAATACCAGAACCTTTTTACCAGAACCACATCACACGGTGTCACTGGTACAGTAGGGGAATAATTAAAGCCTGCTGAGCTCTTGACAGTAACTCCACGGAGCAGCTGACACAGGTTCCAGGACCTGCCCTTGGAGGCAGCCGGAGGGGATGTGGCTGAGGGGGTGACACGCAGGCTGGGCCGAAAGTGAGAGTGTGTGTGGTGAGCTGTCCCCTTCCCTTGGTGCATTCTGCTTCTCTCAGACTGTCACTCTCTGCCTCTGTCTGTCTGTCTGTCTGTCACTCTGGTGAAATCTGGGTTTCTCCCTGTTAGTCATGTTCTGTGTCATCCCTCCAGAGCAGCTGACCCTGTCTTACCTGACCCCGTGTCACGCACCCCTTCCTCCACTTTCTTCCTGTTCCACGTGGTGTGTGTGCCTCTGTATCTGTCTGTCGTGTTCATCACCTTAGTGACTTGTGGTGGTGACCAGATCTTCAGGTGCCTATTTTCACATGTGCATCTTCTTTGTTGGTGAAGTGTTGGATCAGATCTACAGATATTTTTAAAAATTTGGATCCTCCTGTTTGTGGGTGTGTGAACATGTATTTATTCTTATACACTTTTTTTCTTCTTCTTTCTTTCTTTCCTCTTTCTTTCTTTCTTTCTTCCTTTCTTTCTTTCTTTACTTTCCTCACCCAAGGACTTTTTTTTTCATTGCTTTTAGTGACAGACAAAGGCACACAGAGGAAGGGAGAGAGAGAAACAACAGTGAGAGAAAGAAGCATTATTTGGTTGCCTCTTGTAATCCCCCCAGACAGGGTATCAAACCCACAACCTTATGATCAGAGGATGATGCTCCAACCAACTAAGCCCCCTGGCCAGGGCTATTTGCTTAGCGTATTACTTTTGGAACTTTATACACATGGTTCCTTGATGGGTTGGGATTGCCAAGTGTTTTTTCCCACTTTATTGTTTTCTTAAATTAGCTCCACAAGGGCCTTTTGTAGGACAAACTTTTTAATTTTAAAAGGTTTCCACTTATTTTCTTTCTTTTTACATATCAAGGATTCCTATGAAGTCCAAGATCTTTTGCCAAGACCAAGATGCAAAAGATTTTCTAATTTTTCAAAAACATAATAAAAACTCCCCCAGAGACACGTGACCAGTGTCACTGTGTCCTGGAGCAAATCCAGCCTCTGACACCAGCTTGACCACTGTCCCTACTGGTCCTGTTTCCAGCACCCCCACCCCACACTGCACTGTGATCTCATCACTGGAGGGGACTGAGCCTTCTCCCTAAGACCAGAGAGAAGACTCAGCCCACCTGTGGGTGCAGGGGCTGGTTAGGGGGTCAGCACTGTCCCCTGAACACCACAGAGAGCTCTGAGCAACCCGGGCGCAGACCTGGACATGAGGACCCAGCTTTAAACCCTCCACTGGCCCCAGCTGCTCTCTGCCCAGCGGGTGCCACTCAGCAAGGCCACAAGGGGAAGGAAGTGGATTTGCATGGAGCCCCTTATGCAGGATAAGACAGGCCCCGAAGCCACATCGTCAGCTGTGGGTCAGAGGAAGATCCTGGGGCTTCTCCACCATGGCCTGGACCCCTCTCCTGCTCTCCCTCCTCACTCTCTGCACAGGTGCTGACTCCCAAGGCTAAGATCCTAAAGAAACCAGGAGCAACCTGGCCCTGACATTCACTCAGCACAGGGGATGCTGCAGGGTGTGCGCCGTCCAGGAAGGAGACCCTCATCTTCACACTCACTCTCTTGTCCTCTCTTACAGGTTTGGTGGCCTCTTCTGAAGTTACTCAGTCCTCAGCAGTGTCTGTGACCTTGGGACAGACGACCAGCATCAACTGCCAGGCAGAGGCCTTAAAAATTACTTATCCTTCCTGGTTACAGCAGAAGCCAGGCCAGGCCCCTGTAACAGTCGTCTATGGTGACAACAATCGGCCCTCAGGGATCCCAGACCGATTCTCTAGTTCTGAGTCAGAGGACTGGAACACCCTGACCATCAGCGGGGCTCAGGCTGAGGGACGAGGCTGACTATTACTGTGCAGTGTGGGACAACAGTGGTTATGCTCACAGTGACACAAGCAGGCAGGGAAGTGAGACAAAAACCACTGACTGTGTCACACTCTCTTTCACCCCCAAATATACCCAGAGACAAGGCCATGAGCTGGTCTGACTCAGGCCCCCAGGTCTGAGATCCCCAGGATTCCCCCTCTTCCCCACCCTCAGCCAGCTCTGCAGAGGGCGGGACAGCAGTGCATTCAGGGCCGGCAGGACCAGGATATGCTGGGGATTTCAAGGCCAGGGTGTGAGTAGGGACACAGGGCCTGAATGAAGGACACAGGGGGAGACATCCACGCAGCGGTGAAGGACACTGCATGTCCACGTGATGGAGGCTGTGTCACTCACGGGCCCACGGCTCTGAATCAGTCCCCAGAACTGTCCTCCTGCTCTGAGCTCCTGAGGCCGCGGGATCTGACGGCTGCCTGGGATCCTGAACACATGTGAAGGGTGGGGTGGATAGAAAGGAAAAATGTTTGAAGAAACATGGACCAGAACGTTCTAGTTTTGATGAGCATTAGGAACCCACAGATCTAAGAAACCCGACACACCCCAGCACCTAAAACATAAAGAAAGCAGCTCCAACACACATCACAACCAAATTCCTCAAACCCGTGTGGAGGAGACCATCAACTGCACCTCCCACCTTCCTGTGAACCTGTTGTGACCTCTCAGAGCAGAGCTGCACAAGGCAGGGGTCACACTCTCTCAGGTGACAAGCACTCTGGGTGACCTGCAAGCCTTAAGCTCCAGGTCTGAGTTCTCCCACCAGCAGGGGGCAGCAGAGCTGCATCCAGGAGCAGCCTGGGCAGAAGCTGGGGCTGTAACAGTCCTGTATGGTGACAACAATCGGCCCTCAGTGATCCCAGACCAATTCTCTAGTTCTGACTCAGAGGATTGGAACACCCTGACCATCAGCAAGGCTCAGGCTGAGGACGAGGCTGACTATTAGGCTCCCTCAGAGGGAGACCAGCCCTGGTATCCTCAGTTCCAAGGCCCAGTGCAGGCACTTCAGGAAGTTCCATCTGTCTCCTGAGACCCAATGACCACATTGTGACAGTCAGAATCACACAGCGTCACTCCTGGACCCTGACAGGCACCTTTGAGTGCTTTACCTGAAATGCACATCACCTCACTGTTGGAAGGGACCTCTGAAAAGGAAAGGGACACCGTGACCTGCTACCCTCTGCCTCTTATTCCCACCTGCAGGTGCTCTCGGTCCCAGGAGCTGCAGCTGCTCTGCTCAGGGCCATCTCAGGGGAAGAGGGCACAGGCAGAAGCTCTGGTCCCTGCCTGGAGCAGCACAGACACTTTAGGAGGTCATGAGTGAAGAGGGATTCTCCCTGCTCAGGTCCAGCTCTGGTCACCAGGTTGTCCTTGGTCAGGAACAAGTTCAGCCTGAAAGGAGAGACCGCAATGTCTGGTACCCAGAGGTCACGACCTATGTGAAGTCCAGGGGTCTGGGGACCCGCACAGAGCACATGGGGCCTGAAGCTGGGGTCTCAGTCAGGTGGATTTCTGGAGCTTTTCCCAGGTCAGTTAAAGCCCTGATGCAACATTTTAGAAGGACCAAACAGTGGACAGCCCACAGAGCGAGTCTGTGTGGAGAGGGGCGCGGAGGAAGGGACACACACACCAGTGTGGGTGAGACTGGGAGCTGGTGTGAATCGCCCGAAGCAGGAGCCCATTGAACAAGGAACCCATCACACCAGAGGCACCGCACATGCATCCTGACCCCACGGAACCACGTCTAATGAAACGTGACAATGGACACTTGTACATGCATGGTGACACAGAGAGGGGGTGAAGGAGGAGGGGGAAGAGGTCGGGACCATGGCCCTGCACCTGCTGAGTCAAGAGTTGTCACTTGCGTCTCAGAGGGCCCAGCTCAGCCCTGTGTCCAGGCTCCTGGAAGGCCCGCAGCCCTGCTGAGCCATCCCAGGACAGACGCCCGGCCTGGAGGCTTTGGGTCAGACCCCAGGGAGGTGACGGTGATCAGGGGTGTGAGAGTCCAGGGATAATTTTCTGACCTGAGAAGCAGCTAAAAGAAGCTGGGCACTCAGCCCTTCCTCCTCAGTCCCCTGGCCTGCCCCCTAGAGGGGGTAAAAGTGATCTCTGCTAACTGTTCACCTTAGAACCCAGTGGGGAGTGCATTTGTATAAACACTGAAACATCAGGGCCCCCAGAGGACTGAGAGGGCACAAGGGAGGCCTGGGGAGCCCACGGTGCCTTGAGGAGTCAGGAGGCAGAGCTGTGGCGTGTCTGTTCCATGGCCTGGACCACTCTGCTGCTCCCCCTTCTCACTCTCTGCACAGGTGCTGCCCCCAGACCCTGCCTGCCTCTCAGCCCAACAGGACAGGGAGCTGGGTCCCCCCAAACCTTGATCTCAGCCCAGATGCAGACTTAATGTTGGTCCTTATGGGAATAGGCCCTTAATTCTCAAGCCCCCACTTTTGTCTCCCCCTGGCAGGTTCTGCGACTTCCTATGAGGTGACACAGCCACCGTTGGCGTCTGTTGCCCCGGGACAGACAGTCACCATCACCTGCCAGGTAGATTACTTTGAGGACAGAAGTTACGTGCACTGATACCAGCAGAAGTCCGGCCAGGCCCCTGTGCTGGTCATGTATTATAGCAGCAACTGGCCCTCAGGGATCCCTGACCGATTCTCAGCCTCCAGCTCAGGGAACACAGCCACCCTGACCATCAGCGGGACCCAGGCCCAGGTCAAGGCTGACTATCACTGTCAGGTGTGGGACAGCAGTGATGGAGCCACAGGGACACAGGCAGACGGGGAAGTGAGACACAAGCCTGCTTCTCTGTCACACCCTCCTCCAGCCCCGGGGGGACTGTGGTCGGGCCACAGCAGGATGGCCCTGGCCCCCGGATGTGAGACCCCAGTCTCCCCTCTCCTCCTTGCCCTCCAGACAGGCTCTTCAGGGCTGTCCTGGGAGACGACACAATGATGATGTCGTCATGGTGCCCCATTTGGTTGAGGACTGGGTGCCATGATCACACGTGTGCAGTGCTGGCTCATGTGACATGTGAGCGGCACAGCGTCTCACACTTCAGATACGGAAACTGCGGCATCTGAGATGGGAAACCACACAGTTTGCACCGGCAACAAGGAGACACTGCAGCAGCGAGAGTGGTGAACTTCATGCCATAAAAGTGGGCACTCCTCAAAGTAAAACAGGAAATACAAGACTGAGAGCTGAGAACAAGCCCCTGATGCACAGCACAAGCACAGGGAGCCCCACACGCGCGGGGCTGGAGTCCCAGAGCGGACGGAACCTGCGCAGTGAGCAGAGAAATGCGTAGTGCAGCGATGGCCAAAATGCTCCAGCACCGGAGGAAAAAAACGAAATATTTAAGAATCTCCACAGAAGTCTACCCCAGGAAACAAGAGGAAACAACACAAATGCCCTTCATCATGAAATTGATCAAAACCAGTGATCAGGAGGCAATACTGGGGAAAAAAAAACCAGCCAGAGAGAAAATAATGTCAAAACGCAGATGAACAACAAACTTCGTGGATAAAACAGGCCTGTCAGTAAAGCGACATAAGGAAGGAGACAGTGGAGAATATCTCTAAAGATAAGCTTTTAAAAATATAAACCTTAGCCCTGGCTGGTGTGGCTCAGTGGACTGAGTCCTGGCCTGCGAACCAAAAGGTCACTGGTTCCATCCCCAGTCAGGGCACACGGCTGGTTGCAGGCCAGGTCCCCAGTAGGGGGCGTGTGAGAGGCAACCACACATTAATGGTTCTGTCCCTCCCTTTCTCCCTTTCCCTCTGTCTAAAAATAAATAAGTAGAATCTTTAAATATATATATATATATATATATATATACCTTTAAAAAATCTGTGGAGCTTGAGTTATTTATGCAGTGAATATACCTTTCAAAAATGAAGGTAGAATAAAGAATTTTTACATATGAAAAATGTACAAAATCGGTCACCAACAGAACCTCTACACAAAGCACTAACAGCCCCTCAGACAGAAAGAAAAATGCTCCCAGAAGAAGTGGGAATCCGCAGAGAGAAAGAAGGAGCAGAGAAAAGGTCACTTCAGGAAAGTCATAGAAACATCTGTCTTACGTTAATGTCCATAGAATTAACTGCGTGTAAACAAGACGTTAATAGCAGCATGCGGTGCTTTTTGATGACTGTCCAAACAAAGGGGTGACAATGCTGGCACTCAGGGTGGGGGGCGAGGAAGAGCAGGTGCAGAGAGTCCCATCCTCTCCGCGCAGTGACACAGCAGCACTGGAAGGTGGGCCTTGGTGAGTTAGATTAGCGCTCTGACCCCAAAGCTGCCATTGAAACAAACCCTTTAACATCAAATGTTACAGCTAATAAGGTGTATTCGCTCGGGTCTCCAGGGAGAGAGAAATGGTAACAGGGGGGTGTGAGCACAGATACAGGTGTAGAAATGATGCAGATATAGACAGATGCAGGTGTGGATCGGTAGAGATGTGTCCTGTGTGCAGAAAGACCTCCACGTGCTGTCTAGCAGATACACTGAGGCAGGCAGGTAGGGAGGGAGGGAGGGAGGGAGGGAGGGAGGGAGGCAGATAATAGATTTGAAGGAACTGGCTCATGCAGCTCTTGGACCAGCCTGTGTGGAATCTGTGGTCAAGCAGGAGGCGGGGCATTCAGGTCAGAGGGAATGTTTGCATGCTGTGCCCAGTTCACAGAACATGTTACATGAAGACACAAGGACAATGACAATATACAAATCCAACATCTAGATTAAAACAACACTGTCTCATTTCAGCACCTTCCATCATAGTTACTCCCGCCCCTGAGGGAGAGATTGTGCTCAGGGACCAGCAAAGCAGTGACTCTGAATGTTTACATTCAAGCTGACACTGGCGCCTGAGACTCTGGAATGTCCCTGTGGGAGAGGACAGACGCTGGAGTCCCTGCACAACACTCCTCACTGTGACCCCAGGAGGAGCAGGGAGGGGGGCG